TTATATATAATATAATTTTTGAATAAATCGAACATAATTTATATAAATAATAATTTTTAATAAATGAAATGTGGCAAAATAATAATATTACGCGATAATATATATATAAATATTTCGAATTAATATATATATTGGGATAAATCGGGTTGATACCTCTTATTATTTTTTAAAATTAATAAAGAATTTAATATTACATTAGGTAATGGAGCTGGAATTGAAGCTATTATTTTTTTTTAAAAAAATCTCTTCTTTGAAAAACAAATACCAAAATATTTATTGTACAAATTATTGGAGGACCCGGAAGTTGGTAACTATAAGCTTGGAAAGGGTGCCGGGCAGGGTTTTAAGACCGAACTGATATCTAATATTGGGTTTTTAAATTATTAATAAATTTATTTAAAGGTTTCTGATAATTACTAAAATATTACATAAAATATTGGAGAACCGGGATATTGGTAAATACAAGGCTGGAAAGGGTACCGCGGAGGTTTTCAGGTCGAATTGGTACCTAATATTATTTTTTTAAATTATTTAAAAATATACTTGAAGGATGTCGATATTTACCAAATTATTACATAAAATCGCTGAAGGATCGGCATACTGCCAATTACAAGACTGGAAAGGAAGCCCGAAAATTTCCTTTTGATGGTCCCGGCAATTACCAAAATAATTCACAGGCCACTAGAGGACCAGGATATTGCCAATTACAAGGCTGGAAAGGGCACCTGGGAGGGATTAAGGCCGAACTGATATCTAATGGTGATTTTTTAATTCACTATATAATATTTTTGAAGATTCCCGATCGCTGCCAAAATATTATCCAGGATATTGGAGGGCCAGGATGCTGCCAATCATCAGTAAAAAAGTCAGGCTGGTGCCTAATGTTGCTTTCTAAAGTTACGAGAAAATCTAATTAAAAATCCCCGACAAATTATCAAAATACGGCGCTAGGCGACCAGAAATTGCAAAAGACACAGGGCACTGGGCAACCGGAAACTTACAAAAAACACCGGAGAATCGGGATATTTTATATTAAACAATTATAATGATGCCTACCAGGTTATCAAAAAATTATAAAGGGCTGAGGATAAACCTTCGGAAATGGTTATATCGGAATAATATTTTTTTTTAAAATATTTTTCCCCTGTTTTCATTGGAAATAACGGATAAAATAATTATAATAAATATATTTTATATTAATATATAATATTTTCTTTAATATTATATATTTTTAATTTCTTGGAAATATAATTTTAAATTTATTAATTTTTATTAAAAAATAATATATAATTTATTTAAATATTATAAAGAATAGGGTGAAATTAATAAATATATAATATAATATATTTTTTTTCCAAATTTCGAATAAAATAATATATATATTGAAAAACAATATATATATATTTTTTTTTTTTTTTTTTCATTTATATATTTATTTATAATGATCGAATCC